GTTCATACAATTGTGAACCGACTCTTCCTACAGGCGTTGCGTCTAAACATGTGATCAGTTGCCTTTCTCAGGGCGGGGGCCTATGTGAATGGTCTTTTACTTCGCACCCCACACATTGGAGATTTGTATTTATCCTTTATACGTCCCGTAAAGGGCAATTGGCCTCGGCGCCCTTATATCCCGGGGATCCTAGTCGGTCACCCAACCACGAACGCGTGATGTTTCGAATTCGCTTAAACTTTGTGGCTTCATGTAGTTAACAAATTCGTCAAGGGAATCCGATTTAGTGGTCGTGGCTTTTCAGTAGAACCATCCCCGCATTCCCCTAGATGATTGAGGAAAAACGCAAAACTCCCGGTCAGAATGGCCGGCAAGGAGATTGAATCCTGGCCTCCCGAATGCGAAGTCAGCTTGTTACACCCTGACAGGGGGCGGCTATTGGTGTCATTTCGAGTGGGTTGTAGACCAGATGGGGATTCTCCCTCTCCCTCCGAAAATGTATATGAAGGAAAAAATACAAAAAAAAAAGAATTTTTTGAAATTGTCATATTTATTATTAAATTGTTATCACATTTATTTTATGTAACTTCAGCATTTGGTTTTTGCACTGCAAAATCAGCGACGCGCTTTGCATTTTGTGTTATAAAATCATTTTTAACAATTTTTGTAAATCGATTTTGTCAGTCACGTCGCTATAAACATGTAATATCGCAATACTGTTGAGTCAATCGTGCAACATAGTTGATGGTGGGTGCGTTGTGAGTCGACCCGTGCGACGAGGTCGTACTGCTCGTGGGCTCGTCGTCCGCAGCCTGCAGTTCTGCCGCTCCGGTAGCAGAGCTCCGCAGGCGGTCACGATCTCTCGTGGAGAGTTGTGGACGACCGCCCGGATCCTGAGTTTCACAGCGGCACACTCACGCCGTTAGCCTCAAGGTGGAGGCACAGAGGAGGCGGGAACGGGGCCCCGAACCGCCCGAACCTTAGTTCGGGAGGCCACCTGTTGTATGGGGAGGTTGCCGTTAGGGCAAACTGCGATCTGGAGAGATCCAGATTCCTGCCTGTCTGTGTACTTTTGCGTCGGCGGGGTTTAAAAGCGAAAAGCTTAAGTATCCCCCCTCAGGGTTGACGCCTCCTGGTAGAGCAAAACATTGTGTGGGGGCGACACCGTACATCCATACATCAGTAGGGCCATAGCAGCCTTCCCACGCAACACGTCGGATGCCGGCGAGTGGGATATCGCGCGATTTACACATGCCCAGCACGTCGAGACATTCATTCCTCCAATACAAAAAACACATCGCCATACTAGTTTGTAGTAAATGACTCCATTTCTGCCACTTCCCATAATTGCTCGCTTAGAACTGATACGACCATCACAAAGGCATTGGTAGCGTTAAGGTGCGTTTTAAAAAGTATTTTACTTTTGCGCTAACCCGGCGCATTGAGTGTTCGGTCTCAGTAAAATCTGAGAAATGATTGTTTGCTGCAGTATACAATTAAATCGTGTTTTAGACTATTATAAAGCTATTACCGCCAAGGAAACCTACACTGGCCCTTCTACATATCGTTCGTGAGCTGCAATAGTGGCACAACTAAAAACACAGGTGTTGAGATAAATGATATTGGAGTTTTCACCTTTTCTTGCATTCCAATTCTGCCATTTGTTGGTGAAATTCTGGTGAGTAGGTTAGCTTTTTTTTTTTTTTTTTTTTTTTTTTTTTTTTTTTAGCTGCGCCGTTATTGCAGCCCACGAGCATTATGAAGCATACAACCTACCGTGTGCCTACCGTGTGCAGGTATTAAAAGACACCTTGTGGTTTGCAGGGTCTGGACAGAAAACGAAATTTTGCGGGTTCTTAGTAGTCCAAGTTCTTTACGAGGACAGGACAAAGGGTCGAGTGATTAAACACACTGACATGTTTTCAAGATACCATTTTCATTGAAATCTCAATTTCAAAATTTGATTAAGTTCAATTTTTTCCGGCGTCTTCCTAAATCTACAATACTGAAGACAGATTCTTGTTTATCAATCGCAGATCTTTAAATTAGGTCAGGTACAAGTTTCCGACATTATGAGTAGTTTTCGCGTAATTTTGCGTTAGGTAAATTTTAAACGATTACATTCTCAAAAACGACTTCAAATTTCTTTGAATATTAACCTCGAATAGAATAAAGGACGCTTAAAATATTGTGTATGGATCATTTTCTTGGAACGTTCTAAATTTTCGAAAATTTCAAGTGTTGAAATTCGAAAAAGATTAGCTCTTATAGCACCGCTGGAATCACAATAAAATGCCTCTAACCACAATACAAATGTCACTACTGAAATCTACAAACCAACACAGATCTTTAAAACCGGCTGAGAATGATCAGTGCATCAACTGATGTTCACTACATTGCCTGACTGGGATATCCTAGGTTTCGAATCACAACGGTGGTAGGTTTATCGGTACTAGCTAGATTGAATTCATTGGCCGGTTTATCTGTTCAATATCAGACAAATATTGGAGTGTGTCCCACTAAAACGGACAAGGATCGCGCGTGATATTTCCTTCCTCTTCCTATCCCTCCCCTTACTTACATTTACACGAATTACAGTAACTCATACCCTTACTTTGTAAAAAGATAAAGTTTTCCTGTGTCGACAGAAAAACCTTTTATTGACGGGGCCTGGTAACGGAGGATAAATCTTGTTTCTATATACAGTAAATTACTTTCTCTATACGTTCTGTGGTTACTTTATACAGAAAATCGATTGACGGTAAAACGTGTCTGTGCTTCCACCTAAACTGTCCAGCCTATTCAGTGATGCTATCGATTTATTTAAATGAACTCACGGGTCTCTGAATTTGAAACATATTTCGATTTTATGGTACTCTTTACAAGAAACCACAATTTCGCTTTAAAATTTTTCTCACAAATAGCTCCAATTTTTTAAAATTAAACTTTGTACTCAGGAAGCATAAAGGACGCTTAAAAGAATATTGCAAGTCTCAAATTTTTGAAAAATCTAAAAATATTCCAATATATGCTTCAGTTAGTTTCACTGATAATGTCTTTAAGAAAAGAAAAAAAATTGTTTTCTGTTGAATTAGATTTTCAATATCCATGTTGAGAGTAACAACATTGTGTTTTTTTGAAAAAAGTTGTATAAAAAAATCCCCTTAATTTATCTGAGAAAACTAATAACTACACCTCGGAATTTTAGGCATAAAAAATGTCATGATTAACACACAACAAAATTATGAAATTAGGCACTATTAGGCATGAAAAGTGACGTTTTAGGCACTTAAAATACATTGCAAAATGATTAAATGAAGCGTATAAAAACATTCGACACGAATGTTTCTGCCATCAAGAACTGATCACAAAACGATTAACACACTTTTATTATCCATGAAAGTCAAATATTTCTACGTTTATGAGAGTAGCTACAAGCATATTATTTTATTCACTTACATAATTAAATAACACAGTATACAACCAAAATTTGATTTGACTCCCCCCCCTACAGTCAGATGAAAACTCCTCAGAACCAGATGACCCTTTTTTCTTTCTTGGATTCATGACTTGGGTCAATTTTGTGAGATTTGCTTGTCTGACAGACTTTCGCCTGACCTATGACTTTCTTCACCTGGATTGCACAGATGACAAGACGCAGCAGTAAGCCTTAACCTATCAACAGTGCAACTACACAAATAATGGGTGCAATTGCCCAAGAAGTGCATGTTGATTGGAGATGTGTGTGAAACATCCTCTTTATATTGACTTGCAGAGAGCTCCTGATGTTAGGATGTTCGGCAAGAGATTTCAGGGCACAGTTGTTTGAAAATTCTTCAATAAGTGAATATTTGCGTTTAGCAAAAGTATTTGCTTTTTGGTATAACAAATTTAAAAAATGAGCAATGAAAATATGATAGATCTACAAAATTACTTCAGGCAAAATAAATAAAATAGAATTAAAATAAATTTAAAAAAAAATCAAAATATGTATCAACCACCCTTTTAGGACATTTTAAGCACCATTAGATGCTCTCGGTACATCTATTTTTTCGAGATTTGCAAACATCTGCAATTACTTTTCTCTACCACCCAAGGGAACTAAATAGGCTAAATTTGTTCTACAATCTGAGGTCTTGAAATAACAGACTTAATTTTTTTCTTTCTTTTTTTTTATTGCAAAGAATGTGTAGCAAATTTACAATTTCGATTGAAGATCTTGGGGCTGCAACAAGATGAGCCGCATCAGCCACAGAAAACCTCCTGCTATTCATAAATATTCACATCCCAAGTTTGGTTGAAGTGTGACTCCATATGTTACCATCCCAATGTCTTCTTAAATATGAACAAGAGATACAGCAAGATAGAGCAGAATAGCAACAAGATAAGGCACAATCCAACCAAAATCATGTTACAGGTAATAACATACCTAGTAATGTTACATGTGTTATTACTGCAGAGGTCAAAAGCTAAAAAACGAGGTGGAGTATAGCAGAGCCACGATCTTTAATTTGGACGAGGCAGTAATAACACTAACATTTTGTGGTATGTTCAACATTTTATCGGTCACCATAACATCACACAATTTATGAAACAACTTATGACATTATTGTGATAGTAAAGAAATGAATTCCGTTGTTGCAGCATGTTTCTATGGTTCTGACGAGTGTTCAAACAACTCGTATACCTTTGTTAGAGAAAAAATGAAAGCAAATAATTCTCCTAAAGAGGACGGTACCTCAAGAAATGATGTTTGGTGAGGAAGGATGCAGGTCTACTTCCCAGTGGTGACACCTTCAGGTAGTTAGTAAATATGATTACCAGAGAAGAGTTTCATGTGGTGGAATGCCAGGAAAATAACATTAACTTACCTAATATAATTTTTTAATTGTACAGTTATAGCTATTAACAAACCTAGTAATGTAATCATGATCTATGTGAAAATTTACATTACTATGATAGTAAACAAATGAATTGTTACTGCTGCAGGTTAGTACAATATTTTGGGATGTAGCTTCCAATATATCTATTTGAATACACAATATTATCAATATTTGTATACCCTGGTTTGAGAAAGATGGATACAAATAATTCTCCTGAACCTAAATATATCTAAAGAAATTACGTTCATTGAGGAAATCTGCACTTTGACGTCGGTCACATCATCTTCACACATTAGTAAATAAGATTACTGAGAAGAGCTTCGATTGGTGTCACGAAAAGGAGGTTAATTTATCTATATACATTTTTCTAATTGTACTATTGGTGATAATTATTATTAATTGTAATATTACAATTAATAATAATTCTCCCCGTAACTAATATGAATTACTTTTATTCTGAATTGTTTACATTTACAAATAGCAAGGCTCGCTGTGGCTGGCATAGTTTATCCTGGTATTTCATTATTCAAACAGTTAAGTCTCTAATTTACCAAAAATACAATTTTTGATACCTTGCGAAATCCTTTACGTTCAAGTTTATTTAGAAACTTCCTTCAATAGGACATGTTAACAACACACACAAGTGGTAAACAGATTAATACCTATCTACAATAGGGAGTTTTAGCGCCACGTGTAAGGTAGCGGCGTTATGCACCAACAGTCACATAATGGAGCTTGTTATAACGTCTTACCTTAAGCCTAAGGTACGACCTTACACATCCATAAATAATTGACACCTGTAGGTGTTTTTATGGTCACCTTACAAGCGGCAAAATGGCTGCCTAAAAACGGGGAAATTATATTTTTCCAACTCTGGTAAACAAATTCTTGTATGTGAGGCAGTTACAATTATTCCTTACTATCTCCACAACACTGGTAAGAATTAACGAGTTATGTTGGAGAGGTTCCAGGAAAGAAATTCGTGAAAAAGAAGACTAAATCATGTCTCCGGAATAGGTTATGTCTTATGCTCAAAACGAACGCTGTTTTAAGATATTTTCTACTTACTCTAGAAAAGCTGATTCAAAATTCCAGATCGAATACTCATAACGAGTGGGGGAGGGGAAGCAAAAAATGTAAAACTCTGTGTGCAATGTACATTTGTTATACTCTTGGGTCATACATGGTTTAAATGTCTCAACACTAGCCTACACGCTTTCACGTATTATGTAACTTCTTTGTTCAACGAATGAAATGTTTCTTTTGTTATAATGCATGTATTATGTAACTTCTTTGTTCAACGAATGAAATGTTTCTTTTGTTATAATGCATAACGCAATTTGCTGAAACTCTTTTTAACATTGTTCATTACAATCGTATAAAAGCGTTTGTCGCGTGACCAATAGAATTTTAGGATGCCACCTAACACCTGGTGCTAAAACTCCCTATTGCCTTCAACATAGGGAGATTTACAGTAGGTTGCCGTAAAACAATTGTATTCATGAATATACTGTAATGATAAACAACATAATGTTTCAAATGTTACAGAGGAAACATGACAAATTTAATAAATGACAATATATATACATCCCAAATGAATTGGTAAGAAGTCTAAGTACATATTCATGTATACTCCAGCATTAGAAAATAGTCAAAATTTGTTCACAAAATAATGTTTTTAAAAGTAAAATTATAACAAACATGATAACAGATACAGCCCTAAAGATATGACAAACAATCACTATCTCTATTGTTTTTCAATGTGTGTCTAGGGGTATATATAAGAGGAATGCATGTTAATAGTAACAAAATTTGGAGGATTTTGGTAAAAAATACCTTTTAATAAATTTGAAATAAATACGCAATTTTAAGTGAAAACAATTAAAAATCCTTATCTGCAGTAAATTGCTTCTTTGCCATTACAGAATGTGCAAAAAAGAATTAAGTTGTAAAATCAGACAAATTTACAACAGAAAATCGTATTTGTAAGTATACCCTACAATAATTCAGAAGTATAATTCGAAGTCTACTCTCGCAGAAGAGTAAAATGGTCCATTTTGTTTCACTTTCCGCACCCATACTGGCTCCTTAAAACGTCCCTCTTCCACCCACGTGTGCATCTGAGAGCTAGAATGGGGGCCTTCCACTTCAGGACTGTCCTCTTTCCATTTGAATTCCCAGTAAACTTCATCTGTAAATAGGAACAAGGAGAGAATTAGTTACAAAGGTACCTTTGACATCAGAGTATTCTGAGTTTAAATGACATTGTATTACAATGATTTAAATCATCATCAACAATCGTGATATCTAGAATAACAATGAAGGTATCCAGATAAACAAAATAACTTTTTAATGGTTCCATCATGTTCTTTAAAACGCAAACTGTAAAGAAATACACACACATGAAAGCATACTTCACAGTCTTCATCTCTGCCTTTTAAGACCAGCTTGTCTCACAGAGAATGTTTTGCCCTTATAGACAAATGGCAAAGCAAGAACAACCCTTTAAATTTTAAATACTGATCGCACAAAACCAGACAGTCCACCTGTAATAAATTGGCAAACTCATGGTGGCACTAAACCATTAATTAATTGAACAAAAGGGCATGCAGTAGAGAACTCCGCAAGAACATGCAAAGTCCATGCTATGAAATCAAACATGAACTGCTTTAAATTTCTATAATTAACAATGGGTGGGGTAGTCGTGGGAGTTACATTAATGGTTTTATTTATTTACTCCATTTTCATAACCATTAAAACTAATTCTGTACAATTTTAGCGAGTTTTTCTTACAGTCTATGACACCTACCTTTTATTAGTTCATTTCAGAATTTCGGACATTTTGATAATCCAGATAAGGACCGGTCCCCATTAACCTTCAAGTATACTTGTCTGATATGGTCTCCCTTCACTAGGAAGGTCATAAATCATCTTGAGAAGGACCAACACAGATTGTGGTGCAACTTAGGTTTCACGATGGATGCCCTATCCCACGGTTTTGTCACGACTATGCTGATTACTACTGATTGTATAACATTCCTAAACTTCAGGACACAAGAACAATCTGTGACCTTATCTTTCTATTTAAAATTTTGTCGAGTGAAATTAATTGTAACAATACTCCCTAATATCAGATTTGGTCTCTCACGTGTTCACAAGTAATACCTTATTTTTTTCTGTCTAACCTGTGAAAACTGACTATCAAGTGAATGATACCTTCTACTGTATTGCCTCGACCGCTAACAAGTATTTTTAATGAATTGATTTTTTCAATATTACTTTCTGAAGCTATGTACTTATTATCCGAGAATTCCCCTATTAAACCACCTGATATTGGATATTGTTCCAAAATTTCGTAAATTTACTCTGTGACTTCATGAACAAATCCGTACTTGTATTCTCATATTACATGTATTAAAGGGAATATCTGATAAATAAAAGTATTATCAACATCTCAATGTAGCAGAAATCACAAATTCACATATCTGAGACTCAAGCTTTTACAACACGCATCAAGATAAAATATCAAAATTAATTCAACTCATGTTAAATAATAAATCAAAATACCTGAATTGGGGAGATCTTTTTCTTCACTTTCTTCTTTCTTCTCAAGAAGCTTCTCTGCATCATTGTTTCCCGATATTGTGACCACTTTTACTTTCTCTTGAAACTGCACCTTTGGACGTTTGTTTGGCCTTTCTCCATCCCTCTCCTCCAGCTTATGTTTTCTAACTTCCTCCGTTTTTGAGACATTATCACTTCCAGCCAAACTCTCTCCAGCATTTATGAGTTTCTCATTCTCTGAAAGACGAGCTTTCTCCTTTTCATCAAAATCATCAGCATACATGTCCAATGCATCATCGTATGATTTAGGTTTAGGATGAGCAACTGCATGCTTCTTGTCAGCCGCTGCAACCTGCCACAAAACATGTCATCCCATTAATACATCTCAATGCAACATGCAATTGGATGACTGCCTATGTTCAAGATAATTTATATTATTCAGAAATCAACACACTTCTTTAAAACTCATTTCATAGCAATAAGTTAAAACATCTTTTGTACAATATTAGTTTATCATTAGAAGACAGATTTTTATTATTTTTAATTGCATTAGGTGGCCAGAGCTACATAAATAGTTTTCTTCGTACACTGGTAAAATTAACAGTAACTACAGTAATAGTGCATACTTTTGCATTTAGTGCTATTTTGCAATAGTGCATTTTCTACTATAAGCATGTATTTAGATGTTTTGGCATTTATCCTGTCCATTTCATTACTCCAGCCAAAATTACCTTTAAAAGACTGTAAACCAATGTTTAAGTGATGGATTTTAAATCACTTTCAACTAAAAATTGTTTTCCTAACATGCCTACTGTTTCGCAAAAGAGTTCAATCTGTAATGTAATCCTAATTTCCAATCTTCCTTGAATGGTGCTTAACCTTGTATTTATCCCCCCAAACATCACATACATTTTTTAGTATTCATTGACAAAGCAAATGAAATCCAATAGATGAAACCTATTAGCAAAGTGGAACAAGTGCAATGAAAACTGCTCCATCTAGCCTGAGAAACAGAAGTAGTATACTTTGAAGAGGAAACCATGAACCCTCTCCTTATAGCAGTCTCCCTTTGCCAGAAAGTAACGGAGGTCTTGAGAGGAAAATACAGACCAATTCTGTCAGAAAGATTTAAACACAGAGATTATGTATTTGCTACTGATTGTTTTGCAAATAATGAATGTTAAAGTTTCTTCAAAAAGATCTTCAGGGCAACAACCCAGAGAAGCACAAGAGCAGCTTAGAATTAAGGAAGCATAATTAAACTTACTAAAATGTTTTAGCAAAATATACTTCCAAACATACTGCTGATTAAGGGAGAATCACTGACAGGAAGAATTACTTGAAGGTCAATCACAAAAATACTGACAAAATGACAAATTGACCAAATCAAAATAACACTGCCCGGATCAAAAATCTGGAATTTTACAGTTAAAAAACCGATTCATTATGATCCTTCATAGCTTCTCAGGTTTGAAGAAATTCAATGTGTAAGATCTCTGTGAAGTACTTTCATTGCACTGTGCCGTGTAACAAACAGTAAAATATTGTAGTGATTATCGGGGAACAGATTTTTAGGTGCTATATATGCCTAAAATATGTTTGTTTTTATGTTGGTAAAACCTCCAAATATGGGGGAAAGGTAGGAAAGTATGTGATAAAAATAAAACTACAACGAATTTTCCATTACAGTGATAGAATAAAACTTTTCCATCACTGGTAAAAACATCTCCAAATCCTACTATGTACAAGTATTGATTGAAACCTGTCTTCACCTTTACTTTTGCATCTTTATAATCATGGAAAAAGAGGTAAACGCAAACTAATCCCTCTCTCACTGGGTAGTTGAGACACTGACTTCCATCTGACTTCCACTACTCTTTTAAATAGAAACCAGCCTCCAGGAGGGTCGGGTGATTTTGTGTCCAGCAATATCAATTCTGGGAATATGCAGAAGCTCGAATATGCCATATATCACGATGTCTAGAAAGGTCTCGACTACAATACTGATTTCAGGAATAGGGCCCACAGACCCTTTGAGAACCGGCCAGTAGTGCGTGTCAAATTCCAAGAATACATTATGTGACAATTGTTTCCTTTCTGTATTGGGTTCCAGCACACATGCATGGTAAATATCTAGGCTCATTATCTGGAATAAACTTTCGTAGATTAACAAGTAACGGAATCATGAGAAAACATATTGCTGGGACACTAACTCGGAAAAAAGGAAACAAATCAAAGTCATCTGTGAAAACAAGTAGATTTTCAGCAAAAAACGAAAACATTGATTCAAATATCACAATTGCAAAACTTTAGGTGAAATAATAATCCGTATTTTGGGGTTCAGGATGACGCAAAACACCTTTACCTCCAGTCCTGAAAGCACAATTCAAAATATAACAATGATTCAAAAATAGCAATATCATATACTACTATTTGAAATTTCACATTTCACCTGATGGTTGCGCAAAGGTTATTCCAAGATGGCCTCGTCATGACAAAAATGTATATACGAGTGGGTTTGATATGCCATCTATACAGATATTCGGTAGCATAATATTTACATTACGAAATTTGTTTGTTTCCTAGGATTGGGAACATAAGTAATAATACTTCAGTTATCGACATTTCAAAATGTATTAAGCTGTTATTTATATGTATAATTATATATGTATATATGTATCTCTTTTATATTTTTAAAATTTTTTTTTTTAATTATATTTTATTATTTTTTTACAAGAGGAACTGTGAAAATCTTCAAAAGACGAAGAGGGAACCCTCCTCAACAGTGTGAGATTTTTAACCACTAAAACCACAAACCCTTTATGTTCCTGGCGTTAACCACCCTGGAATCGCAGTTATGCATTACTTCAGGATGGTGCCAGCTGTATTACTTTGAGGTGCTATTCAGGTTCAGCTGTGACTGATTTCTTTCGGCTTCTTCCTTCTTCTTGAGAATGGCGGTGATATATTTCTTTATTGCTGTCCACGTCCCCTTGTTACAAATCATTAGTGTAACCATGTTTTCTGGTGAGACATTACACCTGACCTCCCATATCATGCGATGCCTTAGCGTGTCCAATTTCGGGCAATGGAATAGCGTATGTTCAGCGTAGTCCACTTCATGGCTGCAGTAGAAGCATACTGTGTCTTCTGTCTTTCTGAACCTTTTAAGGTAAGCCTTTAAACATCCATGCCCTGAGAATGCCTTTGTTAAGTGGTATGTCACGGACCTGTGTTTGCGGCTTATTCATGTGGATACATTCGGGATGAGCCTATGAGTCCATCTGCCATTGTCCTCTCTGTCCCAGCGTTTCTGCCAGCGGTACATCAAGTTTTTTTTAAACTTTTTTTAATTGCGCTATACGTATCTTCGTGCGTTCGCCTTCCGTTGCCTTCTTGCTCACGGGAGTAGTCGTAAATGTCTTTCCTTTCTAGAGCAAGCAGGCCAATAGGAGGGACGTTCGCCAGCAGAAGAACAGCACTTCCGGATACAGTTCTATATGCCGATATGTGTAGAGCTCCTTTCCTCTGGACAGACTGCATTTTTCTTCTCAAATTCTTGTTTTGAAGAGCTCCTGCCCAGATCGGGGCTGCATAGAGCATTTTCGAGAGCATCACACTTATAAGAATTCGTCTCGTCTTGTCGCTGGAGCCCCTGGTGTTCGGCATCAATCTGGAAAGCGATGCTGTTATTCCTTGGACTTTTCCGTCGTCTCGGTTACGTGTGGTCCAAAACTTACCTTCCTGTCAATTTCAATTCCTAGGTAGCGAAGGCTCTTGCGACATTGTATTTTTTGCCTTGCCTATTAGGAATGTTAGGTTGGAGTAAGGTCGTCTGTCGGTGATAAGTAATGCTTCCGTTTTATGGGCTACCACTTCCAGCCCTTTGGATGTCAGCCATCTCATCACTCTTCTCAGGGTGACGTTTACGATGACCTCTAGTAGGGCCGATGTTTCCGCTGTTGCCACTATTATTGCATGGTCTGCGAAGCCCAATATGAAACATTTTGCGGGAGTTTTATGGTCAGTACACTGTCGTACATAATATTTCATAAGACAGGACCAAGTTTGTAACCTTCTGGGACACCACAGGTCATCTCAATTTCAATAGGTTCTTCTTCACCTTCGTAAATAGTCTTTCGGTTGCTTCGGTAGCTCCTTATCATACTGGTGAGGTAGTCTTGGGTGGTGGTCTCTATCAGAGCCTTGATAATCTCCTCCCATTTGGCCGAATTAAAGGAGTTCCTGATATCAAGCGTTACGAAGGCACAGATTTCTTTTTTTGCTCCCTCCTTGGCTTATCTGGCCTTTTCTACCACTGTCGACTGTCAATCTACCTTTTTGAAAGCCGTATGGCATTTCCGACAGACCGTGTGTTTCCTCTAGCTATGTCTGTAGTCTTTGCAGAATCACGCCCTAGAATACCTTTCCCATCGTGTCTAGTAGACAGATTGGTCTGTAAGATGTGGGCTCGTGTTATGGTTTGCTGCCTTTTAAGAGTTTCTGCTTTTTCCATACACTCAGAAAAACTATTTCCCTCAAGAATCTATTATATGCTTTCAGCAGAAGTTGGGGGTGGACCTCTGCCACGGTCTTCAGAATTTCGTTCTGTATTACGTCGAGTCCTGGGGCATTTTTGTTCTTAAGGGTACTGCATACTTTCTGTAGTTCTTCTGGGGAAAACGTTTGGTCTTCTGTAATTTGACAGAGCTGGCATTGTTATAATCGAAGGTTTCTGATGCGATGGAAACAAATTGTTTATGATTTCGATTACCCATGTAGGGTCATCCAATTCGGGAGTTTTCCGCTTCCATTTTAGTTTTGTTGTGACAATTTGGTACGGTTTGCCCCACGGGTTGTTGTCTATTTCCTTTAATAGCTCCGTCCAGCAGTAGTGTTTACTATTGTTGATAGCGTGTTTTACGTCCTTTCTTCATTATCGAAGAGCCTCTGAAGAGAGCTGATTTGCCGGATAGATCCTGGTACCATGTTCCTCTTAATGTCTGCGATCCTTTGGAGCGCGTGTACGAGGGTTGCCTTTTATATTTCGAGATTAGAGAACAAAGACAAATATTAATCATCGATAATCACTTTATTGTTTTTCAAAATATTCCCCATGAAGATCTATACACTTCTGCATGCGCTTGAACCAATTGTCGAAGCACTTTTGCCACTCTGATTGAGGTATCTCCAAACAGCATCATGAATGCAGGCCAACCGTTCTTCAGAGTCGAAAACGTTGACTCTCCAGTTTGTTTGTTTACGTTACGAGAATTAAAAAGAAGTACATTCGGGGCCAATCGGGATATACCCGGGATGACTCAGGCAAATCGATGTGGGTGCTCAAAAAAT